TACGACATGGTTGAGAGTATAAAGGCATGAAGATAGATATTTGAATGATTGTCTAAAGTTGTGTAAAAGAGAACGCACCGTTGAGGCAGCGCCGGCGGTATTTGTGGTAAACGTGTTGCGTGAAGCCGTTCTCCTTCAGCAGCTCGTGTGACGGGTGCTGGAACTTGGGGAGGGATTGAGGCGTGCAGCCAATGTTGCTCAGGGCGGGGGTGCCCTCCGACGGGCTGGCGTTGGAGCTGAGAGAACAAACAGGTGGAGGAGGGAACATTATTAAACTGTGAATGATTTAAAACCTGTTAAAGTAGTATCTATATAAAATCTAAACACTTGGTTAAACACATTTATCTATGAGCATCGTTATTTATTGGTTTAGCCCTAATTAAATAATCAATAGATAATTATGTGGGAAAAAAAAATCGCATAAAAATAAGCTTTTTTCCATTAAATCACAAATAAATGAAAATAAAGACAAAAGCATCATCCTGAATGAATCAACACAAAAGAAAATGTCTGAGGGCAACATAACCAAATCTGAAAACTCCTCCCAAAAACGTCCCTTCCCCTAAAAATGTTGTCCAACCATTTGGTTTTCTTGAATTATTTTCTCAAAATACCATACTGAAATGTAACTGAGTGTATCTCAGCATTTACAAACTCTACTTTAATAATCTTAGTATCAAAATAAAGCAACACTTGGGAGATTTCATCTGAAGTGTAAGTATTAAAACAGCTGCTGTGGGTTTAGAGATATTGGGGATGGAACAAAATATTTTTTTTCACTCTCACCTGAATATWTTTTTCATTAGACAGTATATAAMCCATTTAAAACCATAATGAATCAGGGTTAAAACTCTTGGAAACCATAAATCCACCTGTGGACATCACCTGTGCAAAGATTCATGCTGCTAAAGTTAACTGGAATAAAGTTAGAGGTTTTAATACAGGATTCCTACAGCTCTACAGCAAGTTAAATTAAAGACTTTTAATGCTTTTTAATGCCACTTGAAAGGAAATTTAAGACCAACTTCCCAATAAACTCAAATGTAAAAAAAAATAAACAATTTTACCCAAATGTTTATTTTTACGCAAAACAATTAGCTGCGGTA